GGATCGACGAACTCGGTACCAACGGAAGTCGTCCCAAAGCTTCTGGTCTCGTGGACTCGCTCTCCCGATTTACCTGCTAATACAGGAGACAATACGTACAAAAAAGAAAAACAAAAAAAGAAAACAAAAAAAAAAAATAAATTGGCAAGAGGAAACTTTTCAACTTGTATCGTTCACACGCCGAGACTGGAAGCAAGCCTGAGGAGGGTTTTCCACGAGTGTGAAATCGACGCGAGACGAACGAGAAAATAAGCTCGGAAAATACAATCCGATCGGCGAATACAAAGACTTCAGAAGACTCCTGAGAGCCTCAAAGAATTTTTACGATAATCCTAGTCAAGAGAAACAATGGTACGTGAAGGTCGCGTAACAAACGGAGCGGTCCTCTTGATCGCGTTGGTCCTCCTGAACGTTCTGTACACCATCGACGGTCAAGTCTCGTACAAAAAGGCACGGCTGCAGAAATTGTGCTCCAGGAAGCTGAGCGACGCCTTGCACATCGTGTGCCAGGAACGCGGCTACAATGAGCCGTATTCGAATAGCAACGAGGATAACACGGGAGTCTATCGCGGAGTTGTCGAGGAGTGCTGTTATCACGCGTGCACCTACGAACAGCTCGAACGATATTGCAAGCCCCTTCCCGAGGAGGAACAGAGCATCACAGAAGACGAGTGAGTGGATGTTAGTGTGTTTTCATTTTATGTCTTGTTATTCGTTCTTGTTCTATTCGCCCTTTTCCTTCTCCCTGCACCTTTCTTTCTTTCCTTTTTTAAGGGAAATAGACGAGAGGAACTTAACTTTTTTTCCCTCGCTCTCGCTAAATCTCACTCTTTCCTTACATGTTACTCCACTTTTTTTATTCTGCATGTATAAATTTTGCATATTAATTTTGTTCTGTTCTGTTTTCTTGTGCTTTCACCTTCCTTTTTTTTCTTTCATTTTCTTTTTTTTTTTAATATTTCACGCGTATATCGGATAATTAGTATCTCAGAAAATGTAATTCAAATGTGTATGTATATGGCGTATAATATATTTTATATAAACGCGATAATAAATTAGGGTGAGTATTTGGGTGATCTTGAAACGGATTTTTGATTTTTAAATATTTGACAAAGAGTACACGCTCGGATCTGTTTAGAATGCGTAACAAAATAAATACGGAAACGTCGATTGACGTTGATTTAAAGTTCTAACGAAGAATTCCATTACTCATCGACCGATTATTAATAGCAAGATGATATTGTTTCGTACGCGATTCATTCTTAATAAATCGATTTATTTCCGTTTATAATCGGGAGCCGGATAAATCGTGCGCATAAATAGCCGCATAAATCACATTGTAACGCATGTAACGGCTTATGTAATTATTTATGTTGATTGTTGAGGTTCATTTATTTCGCGTTGTCAGCTGATTAATAGGTGCTCTGTAATGAGCGTTTAAAGGGGAGGGAGATCAATATGCATTCTCGAGAGAACGTGCGTACTCGCGAGAAGATATAACGTACGAGAGAAATCAAAGGGAGAAAAAGAAAGAGAGTGAGGCCGCGTTATCATTTTCACGATAATCTCTGCCTAAAGTTCACGGTTGTATATGAAATGGTCTCAGGAAGGTTAGTCCGAAGTACTAGGAGGATTTGCTATCATGCGTAACATTTTCTCCTCCTCTTTGTCTCCCCTTATTATTATTTCGCAGCGGTGCCCCGTGGGTTTATCGAGTTGTGCGACTTGTTTTCTCCGTCTGTCCACCCAAAATCGTAATCGTAGCTTTCTTACACAAGTGTTTAAAGAGCTTTTTCTTGTTCATGTGAACCTGCGCCTCTGTCCATATCAAACGATACGCTTATTGCATTTTTCAATGTCGAAATGTGTTTGTCTCGCTAACGCCCTCATAAGCTTAAACCGGGGGAAGGAAGGTCGTCGATCTTGAAGCGGATTTCATCGGAACGTAATAGAATATAGAGAAAAACCGGTAGTAGTTGAAAGTAGTTGGGGTAGGGAGTTGAAAGATAAATCCCGGACGTTTCGCTTCTCGCGATAATATCTCTCGCGCTGGATTTCTGCTAAGACTGACTTTGCCCGATGATTTGTCACGTATACTATTTTCTCCTCTTATTTTCAGAAATGATTTACAAACAAAGCTAGCTTCTCAAAATCTATTCGCGACAACTCTGTGGGAGCAACCTCTGCAAACCTCTGCATCGAAGATGGACGCCGTGGCCGGCGCCGTGACAAAACGTAAAAGCGATGACTTAAATGCGAGGGGAAGGCTGATGCGAAAAAGCGACGTCGCGGCAGGCACTGCAGATGCCGAGGTCGGCATCTAGAGTGCCATGCTGATAAGGTGCTTTCATTGTCATTAACTTGCCTATATTAACACTTAACGCTTTTGCCTGTAAGTGCTTTCGCAGGTTCAAGAATGATCTCCAATTGTAACGCCCTCGCGTTAATTTATAATAAGTATGCTTCTAACTTGCTTGCGACACAGCGGGTTTCTTTCGAGTAATTCAACATTTGCCAAATTCGAATTTACAACGAGCTAAAAATATTTTGGAACGTTTATTTAAAAATTTACGTTTTATCACGAGACATATTTTAATATTATTCTTTTTTTTTTTTTTTTTTTTTTTTTTTTTTTTTTTTTTTTTTTTTTTTTTTTTTTTTTTGAAGAAAAATTGAAGGAAAATTCGCCAGACCTTTACTTTAGACTTTGCGTTATTTTTATACTACTTTTAACGGTCGTTATTTAAAATTATTGTATCTGAAGTTTTTTTTCGAAACCGTAAACACACTTGATATGATTGTTCTTGTTTACCACGTCGTGCGTTCTGTTTTTACTTCTGCTTACACGTCACAAAAGTAATTTATATATTGTATATCTAAAAATAATTTAAGTGCTATCGCATTTACGTATCTTTCTCTCCGTATCTTTTTTTCATTTTGCATGACGTTTGGCTACTCGTCACGCGATAAATTTGCATCGCAGCCTCGGGCAAGCATCGTTATCGATTGCCTTTGCTTCTACTGTCTTGTATAAACAGAGATAAGTTACAATATTAACAAAAGTTTTTCGAATGATCGTAACGCAAATGCGTGTGTGTGTTTATCGTTGCAGGTTTTTCATGGCATTACTAAGTAGCCACTAAATAGCCAGTTAGACAACAAATTCGTATCAATATTGACGACAGATCAGCCGACGACGTTTCCCTCCGTATCGTAATGCGGTGCTAAAAATTCAATACGATCGATCGTCTATCGTCTCTACGAAAAATCGGAATAAGGAGACCTTTCTGAGCATCTGGTATCCTCAGATCGAGGTCTTCTTCTTCTTCTTCATCCGCCCATCTTCAATCCGTCATTCTCTTATTGATGACATCGGCGAAATAATTGACGAAGTTTACACCCCGGATGAGCACTCGCAGAGAAAGGAAAATTCGAAGCAGATATATTCGAGCAGATATATCGATCCGAAAAGGAATGATTCTCGTGCAAGAGAGATTATTTACAGAAGAAAATTTAGCTTCATCGGTGCTAATAGATCAGCGACGATGTCATCCATCAATTTCGGAGGAACTCACAATCGAGGGATCTTGGAGGATCGACGATTGCTCGACGATATCGACGGAAACGAATATGCGGCTGTTCCAATAATGTTTCTCTTCAGTGTTAAAAAACAATGGCGTTAAAGAAAAAAGCAAATTTCGATGGCGGCTTGTGGAGGAGTCGCGGACTATATCGAATATAATAAGTGATGAACTCGAATTAGAATGCAATTTAGAATATCGGGTCGCGACCTCGAAAAAAAAAAATAAATAGATTTAAATAAGCAATTCCAATATAAGTGTTTTCAGGCTCGAGAGAGCAGATAGCCCGATTCGGATATTTATCAGTGATCTTATTTTATGGTGGTGACGACTGATCTCATTAGTATTAAAAAATCCCGTTATAAGTTTAAGATTTAACTTAGAGTTTACCTTCAGAACACATCGACGAACGCGTACTTTACTAGTTCACTAATGTGCGGACAAGATCTAAATGCGGAATCATAGATTTTAATAATAATAATAATAATAATAATAAAAAAAAAATAATAGAAATCCAGTAATAGAAAAGTTTTATCATACAACACATATCGAATACATTCTTGTTATCATTCTGTCATTGAAAATTTTCAGTTGACATCTGCATTAAATAATAATGACTAATAAATATTTATACAAATTAAACAACGATGCATCATTTATTTCACAGCACATCCGATTTCATATGAAAACAGAAAGATTATTAAGTTATAAAATAATAAATTTGATCATTAAGATTATCAAGATATGAAATAATAAATTTGATCATTAAGATTATTAAGATATGAAATAATAAATTTGATCATTAAGATTATTAAGATATGAAAGATTATTAAGATTATTAAGATATAAAATAATAAATTTGATATTGTTTTTATAAGTTTCATTTGTGCTTTTTTTCAATAAGCGCCAATATAAGAATAATCGCACTTTTAGTTTTTTTAAGACACCTGATGTCCTAGGCAAGGTACATATGTCGTTTCTTTAAGACACTTGTCAGCATTTTGGCAGCATTTTGATGCTGTTTCTAAGAAAACCTTCCAAGCTTCATCTTTCGAAGCTCTCGACAGCCTTTTGTAGATGTCATTGTACAATTCGTCCAGTTCTTCGTCGTTCAGATAGAGATCGATAGCATCGTTAAAGTCCTGTCAAACATTATGCTAGTCTGATTTTCTCTTGATGTATTTTTTATTATCTTCAGATTTATTATTAGATTTCATTTGATTAAATTTATTTTTCTTTTTCGAAGAAATCAATTTCGAGTTTATCAACGCACTTTTGCATTAGTGTTAGTCACATTATACAATATTATTAATATTATTCAGTTGATTAGAATGTTTTGATTCAGTCGGTTTATCTTGTTTTGTTGTGAGTCAGACGAGAAAGGTTGAAGCACCGTACGTCATTATCGTCAGAGGAATTCGCCTACAGCGCAATTGCAATTGCACATGTACACACACACACACGGACACACGTATTAATCACACAAGTAGCGCGGGATGATGCGTTAGAAGATCCTTATTGTTACGCTGTTTAATATTTATCGTCATTATATTATCGGTGCCTATCATAACATGTCTTTTTTTCTTTTTTTTTTTTTTTTACTAAAGGATATTACAGCGGGATGAATCACGTAATTGCGAAGCGTTTCAGTCCATAGTCGTACAGCGGCTTGATGGATTGCATTATCGATCTTGATGGATTGACTAGATTTTGTCTTCCGAGTAACAGAATAGATCCTAGAGGCGATCGGCTTACCGGAGTGAGGAAGGGAACAAAACCCCTGCCGAGTGGATAAGGCGCCGTGAGATAATATCCTGGCCAGCCTAAAATAGATCCTACTGGACTGGGCTTAGGGTCGTAATATCCTGTCCCAGATGTGGTGTACGCTCGGGCTTTGGCGGCGCCGTTTATAGCCTCCGTCACAATCGGCAGGGCGATATCGCCGACTTGTACGACGTGTGACAATTGCCTTTTCTGCGGAACGCCGTGGGAGTCATTCACCTTCGAATAGTCTGGAGAAAAGCGGGATTATCAGTCGCGGTCTCGTTTCGCGAGGACACCGCGACGCGATCCGTCCGGGATTTCTTCGCGGAGGAAAATGAAATTCGATGAAATCTGATGAAATTTGATGAAATCTGATGAAATTTGATGAAATCTGATGAAATTTTCATCGCGAGCGAGGTCACGAATCAGTCAGGTCGAGTCGCAGTGCGCTGTGATTTGACACCGTAATCTCCTCGGCAACATTTTATTGAATAACTTTCCAGGCAGCACAAAGTTCAAAATCGAGACACGAGACACGTCTTAAAGAAATTTGAGACAGTTTTATATTACGATTTTGGACTTTGTTCCCTTTGGCTTACTCATGCATTTGTTGATCATTTTAATAATTGAACATACCTAGCCTAGACATTTTCGCGAAATGATAAATTGACTTATTGTTATTTTAAAATTTTTACAAACAGAAACGTCTAATTTTTTAATATTTATTCCAATAATGTTTACTTCAATTAACGTAGAAGATTTGTCCATATTTATTCGGATAAATAATATATCTTAAATTTGATTCTTTCACCTGGCCCTTCCCCTCTTTTCGCTTCGTATTTCTCATCGTACTTCTGCAGGTCGAATCTCTCCAGGCTTCTCTTGGCTCTATCTTCAGCACCCAGTCTACACCTCTTCATGTGTACGTCCATCACGACCGTCTTGCATTGTTTGCTGGCCCATGAAATCTCGCACGTAATCGCCAATATTGCCAGAATCAACGCGATCTTTTGTGCTGCAGACCGATACAGGTGCATCTTCTTTTCGTGGCTTCGATCGATCGTTTCAGACTGTACAAAATCCGAACTACGGCTCGTCGCGCTTTTAATAACGTTCTTATCCGATCGTACGTGTCGAAGACACGTTCGTGCAATCGTATTTCGTGCATTTATTCATTTACAGCACGTGCAATATCGCACATGAGCGCATTAATTATTATCGAGTGGTGTAACAGATGACGATGAAAATCACTTTCGTGAGATTCTCGATGATAATTTGATTGAAGAAGTGAAAAAAAAAACG